CCAACCAACCAACCAACCAACTAACTGCCCTACCTATGTTAAAGATGGTAAACAAATATTGCTTTGTACCAACTTTGACTGCTATGTGCTAACAGTGTTCCAAGATTGGTAGGAAAGAGTTCTGTGATTGAGTAGTAATGCCTATTTGGAGTAAGGGAAGAACGGTATATAAACACTGCATAGTTTTTATCTTTGATTTAGCCTGTCTATTTATGCATCCATCTTTCTGTCTGCTAAAATGTTTTGAGTGCTTCTGGCTGCCCAGTACTCTTAAGTATAGAGAGAACTATACGATATGGTTTATACCCCCCAAATAGCTGCAATCCAGCTGGGAAGATAAGACATATACAATTAGAGAACAATATAGAAAAGTGTGTAATTAAATGATAAAGCATGTGGCTCAGGAGATAAGTGCTGTGGAAACTCAGAGAAGGGCAAGCAGCCTGCATTCTTCTGTGGGCAGCGTTGTGCAGGAGGCCGAGTGTGAATGGGGTCTTGTAGGCACTCAGGGTTTGGGAAGGAGGAGGGTCCTCTGGTGACGGCACAAAGGTGTAGAGGTGGGGGGAGTGTGGCCTGTGAAGGTGGAATAGTGTACTAACTGGCTCAGAACATTCCAGGATTTTCTTGCATTTTCTGATGCTTTCCCCCAGTGTGCTCACACAAACCCTGATGGGGAAGCCGTGCTGCCCCCAGGTCAAAGGCCTCACGTCTCAGCGCTAAGCCATCAGGAATGTTAACGTCCGATGGATCTTGGTTGGATCTTTTGTCCAGTGAGGTTAGTTAATTGAGCTGACTCTGATAGGACGCAGATGCTCTGGCTCCCAGCCCTGAGTCTGTAAGTAACTGGGAGCCTTCTGGTAGGCCCAAGGTTCCCGTGACTCACACAAATCCGGGAAGTTCATGCCTTCTTTCCTTTCTTGGTAGGAATTTGGGGAATTGATGAGCAATTACTCCTTCCCCCCACCCCTGCCCACCTACCATGTCCTGCTGGAAGGTGAGGGCCTGGGACAGTCGCTGGGCAACTTCAAGGATGACCTGCTCAATGTGTGCATGCGCCATGTTGAGAAGATGTGCAAGGCTGACCTCAGCCGCAACTTCATTGAGAGGAACCACATGGAGAATGGTGAGGCCCTTCCTGTGTGCAGACCCAGGGCTGTGGGCCTGTCCTGCCAGGCCAGTGTCTGCTGCTAGCGGAGGCCGGCACTGGCCAGACTGGCTCCTTTCTCTTCCCACCTTTCTACTCCCTTAAAGCAGTTGGGACTAGATTCAGGGACCCTAACCTCACATTGAACTTGCAGCTATTACAAAGGACCTGTAGACCAGGGAGTACCTGGATCTTGCCTTCAGAAGCGTCTCCTCTCTGTGGTCACCTGTCCTATTCAGGGGCTGGTTTCACTCAGATCTACCTCTGATCACGGAGCCTGGTCCTGCAGCTGAGGAAAGGCCGTGGCTGGTATGCGCGAGGTCTCCAGCTAGAGACTGGAGGCTCTGAGTGAACTGGCCTAGCACTGCATGTGTACATGGAAGGAGGACCTGCCTGTCACCATGGCTGTGTTGGGAGTGTTGAGCCTGGAGGCTGGACATGGCCTGCTGGGCTGGCCTGGAGCTGATGGGATGCTACTGGTCTCTGTGACTCACCAGCTGAAATCAGCCCCTCCTCTGACTCACACTGTCTGCCAAGGTCAGCTGACTCACCTTGCAGAAAGCCTCCAAACCTGAGAAACTACTCCCTTAAGTCCCTTTCCACCCAGTCCCTTTAGGGCCTAATGCCTGGGTACTTTCCCCAAGGCCCCACCCAGTGGCCTAGGCCCAGCCTAGGGAGGGTCTTCCAGCCATGGACGCCCACAGGAAATGGTCCCTATATGATCTGTGGGTGGAGCACACAATTCTTCAGGGAGGAGAGAAGGCTAACAGTGTGCAGGGCGGCTGCACAGGGGGCCACCTGTGCATCCTGGTGACAGCGCCACAGTGTCCCTGCGAAATATGAGGGACATTAGGTCACACCCGAGGACAGATAAGCCATTCAGCAAGACAATCATTTGGCTTTCAATGGCACTCAGGTCCTGACAATCTCTTCCTACAGACAGTAGCACTGAGTCTAATGGTGACAGTGGCAGCTGAAGGTGATTGAGTACTCTCTGGGTGCTGGCACTGCACTGGGCTCTTCACTCAAGTCACCTTTTCTCTGCGGAGTGCTTTGCGTTGTGCTGATGAGAAAGCTGAGGCTCTGAAGCATCTTTCTGCAGGACACACAGCCGAGGGCGCAGTCAGGTCTCATTGGCCGCCATCTGGCCTCCCATGGCTCCTCAGCCATGAAGCCACCTGTGCGGCTGCTCGCTTGTGGACCTGAGCAGTGTGGTGATCACTGCCCCGTGGTGCTCCTCTGTGGGGGAAGTGTGAGCACAGCCTGGCTGGGGTGGGTGGCCTGGGAGCCTTGCAGGGGCTGTGCAGCCTCCCAGAGGCTCGCTGTCCCATTTCTAGGTCATGGTGGTGCCTGCCTTGGCCTCTGTAGGTGTGGCCCTGTGTCTTCTGCAAGGTGTGCAGGGAGGTGGCAGCTAGAACGAGAATGGCCCTGCTGAATCAGGAGCCCGGCCCTGTGCCCCGGGGCTACTGGAGGAGCCTCTTCTGCCTCTGTGTTGCTGTTTCTTTGAGTGGGGGTGCTGCTGTGTAGAGGTTGGGGTACCTCTGCAGTGGGAGGTGGCGTAGGAGGCTTAGGGGTCAGATCTGAGACTGCCCATCTACTGCTCCCTGATGGTGTCCCCCAGGCAGAATCACTTCCACTCTCAGAGGCCCAGGGACTACAAGACACCCGGTCACCTTCATCCTGGCTAACACCTAGGCTAGTACCCGCCGTGTGGCAGGGCCTTGTTAAGCTAGATGCAGGTCGTGGAGATAAAGGATGACTCTGAGCCATGCAGTCCTCCTCATGCTGGGGAGAAGGGGAGAGAGAGGAAGGGAGAAATGAAGGAAGGAGAAGGAGGAGGAAGAGACAGAGGAGAGTGGGAAGAGAAAAGAGGAGGAGGAAGAAGAGGAAGACAGGGAAGCAGAAGAGGAAGAATGGCGTGGAGGCGCTTGGGGAAGCTGAGAGCCATTGTTTGGGTTTGGGGTCTGTGAGTGGAGATGGCTAAGCCACTCACTTTGTCTTGGGAGGCCAAAGCTGGGAACTCATTCTACCCCCTGAGGCTGACAGCCAGGGCTAGAACTGAGCTGCAAAGTCTGGAGCCAGGTTGCAAGCCCCAGTTTTGCTCTTACTGGCCTGGAACATGGAGCATATGACTTTCCTCCCCCTCCTGAGTCTCAATTTTCTTATCTGTCACACAGAGATTTTCATACCTGCCCAAGAGTTAAGATACAGATCAAATAAGAAATGGATCCCACAGCCCCTCATAAGCTCCAAATGCTGTGCACATGACCTTACTTGCAAAGAGCTGTAGGGACTGGGGACCCCCAGATACAGTGCCGTCCAACCGGGTAGGTGGCTCAGTGCACCACCCTTGCCCCCAAGAGCTCAGGAGCAAAGCAGATGCCGGCCAGGCATCCCCACCTTTTCTGAGAGCACGAAAGCTTGGCTCCTCCAGGACAGAGGAGATGCGCGATAGCCTGTTCCTCCTCCCCACCTGCCTCCTCTGCTCACCCAACCTCTCTTCATAGGTGGCGACCATCGCTACATGAACAGCTACACAAACAACTTTGGGAATGAGTGGAGCACGCCTGACACCTTGAAGAGATACTCGATGTACCTCACCCCCAAGGGTAAGGGGGACCCTTCTTGACCCAGGCCTGGCATCCTGTCTTTTCTGCTGCCCAAGAAGGGCCCCAGAGTCTGTGGAATGAGTCCAGCTAGTTTCCTCCTGGGTGGAGTGACCATATCTCCGGTGTGCCTGGGAAAGTACGGGCGTCTGCCTGCTGTCCCCATATGATTATGAGCAATGTTTCCTTTCAGTCTCATGAGTGACAAGTGTTCCATTTAGGTGACAAACTACCCAGCACTCTGCTCTTCAGAGGCTTCCCTTCCCTGACACGGTCAGCCCTCCAGCTTCTCTGTCCCTCAGGAGTCTCTTGGGCTCCCCCTGTAGGCCGGAGCTGTGTGTCATTTCCGTATGGGTTTCCGTGGGCTGGGCCCTGTGGAGGGCAAGGGTTGCTTCCTTCAGGTCTTGCCCCTCTTCTGTATTTTCCTCCCTGCAGCCTGGCCCCAAAGTCCTCTGCTCCCATGCCCTGCAGAGCCCCACCTTCAGGGTGGCAGCGTAAAAGGGTCTGGACTAGGGCCTGCCTCCCCTTGCCCTAGAGGGGTCTGCCACATTCTTGGGCATCAGCAATAGACCACTTCAATGCCTGTTACATAAGGGTGGGTGTGCCAGTCCCAGCAGCCCCAGAGGGAGAGTCATGCATGCACATGAGGGGTCTGGGGTCTGGGGGAGAGGTGGGGATGGAAGGGAGAAAAAAGAAAGGAAGGCACTGGGTGGAGGAGGGGAGTGTGAGGCCTGGAAAACACACACACACACACACACACACACACACACAGATGTACCCATGGTGGGAGTGGGGCTGGGGTTTAGAGAGATGAGCTCACTGGAGAGGAAGCTCTGCTGCCTATTTTGATTTGAAAACAACACCTGGGCTCTCAGGCAGGGCTAGGGCTGTAGCCAGGTGCTCAGCTCCCTGCTCTGACATTCCTGTGTGGGCCAGGCCCAGCTGCCAGTCCTGCACCCTCCCCCGCCCAGGGTGCTGCCCAGCTCTGGGAGTGCTGAGCTGCGCCAACAAGTCATCCCGACCCCACATGGCTTGGGGCTTCTGCTTGTCCACACCCAGCCCCTGGAAGCACAACAAGCCCTCCGCTGGCTCTTTCTTGATTCTCCTGTTGGGTAGGAAACAGAGCCAGGGTGGCCCCACTGCTCAGAGAGAGAAGCACAGCCCACCAAGTTGTCACCCTGACAGTCCGGGCCCTGAGTGACATGGGCTGGCATTGTCCCCTCTGGCTTTATTGTTCCTATCTGAGAAGAGAGGCAGATGCCCAGGACTCAGAGCCCTCCCAGTGCTACCTTTGTGAGTCAGTCTGCGGCATCTGTAGGTGGAAGAAACAGGTTCCCCCGGAGTCCCTGCCCTACAACTGTGGGTAGCGCCCTGGCTGGGGATAAGGAGGGACAGGAGTCAGCCCTCTGGGATCCCAGGTTCAGGGCAGAGGCAAGACAGACAATGACAAAATGAGGCAAGGAAGCAGGACCACTAATGGGCACCAGGTCTGAGCCTGGGGTCTGGGGGCCAGTGCGACTGGGCAGTGGCTGTGACTCCTTCCCAGGAGAGGTGAGTTTCAGGCCTCCCTGCAGAGGAACTGTGTGCCTGGCAATAAGGTGTGATGATGGGCAGGTGGCACTGGGTAGGAGCCACAGGAAGCGTCTACAGGGACAGCTGGGGGCCACTCAGAGGCTGAAGTGCAGCCTGAAGTCTAGATGGGGAGGGGCAGAGTCAACAGGGAACACATGGCTCTGGGAGG